CATACTTTTGTGTGCCATGACTGACTCGTATGCTTCTGAGTATGAGTCAACTTCTACTGCATGTGGATCTTTGATAGACTTGAGAGAGAGTATGATGATCCCTCTCTCATGAAGCAAGCAATGGCTATGAAAAAGTATAACGAGTTAAACATGACATAAGACACTAAGTTCGCGGATCATATGCACATCTTTCGTGCACCAGTCAGAGAGAGGGAAGACACCAGTATGAAACCATCGGAACCCATGCAAGTGATTCATCTCATTAATGCGCTTCCTAAAATAATAATTCTAAAATAATATTTACCATAAAAGAAACATAATTAAATTAATTTGATGAGAAAATGATCCATATCGTCAAGGAATTAAATCAATAAACATGGGGCACTCCATCTTCAACTGTGGACTACAGACCATACTTGCTTTATCATGCCGACTCAGTGTTTCCCATGCAGCCCTGCCAACGCTCAATTCAAACCTAAAAAAACACTATCAAACCCATTCTGCAACTTTTTTCTCCTAAATTCATCATCGTCAAAGCCTTTTTCCAATTAGTTGGGGTCCGTGTCACGAATCTTATTCCAACATTCTGCTCTATTAAAGGTTATACCCACAAATGTTAATTTTTTCTCCTAAATTAACATTTGAATATTCTTTATTCCTCCCAATCTCGCTCGCTAATTTTGTCTCACATACTCTACCTCTCTAAAACACTAGCATGATTTTGGAGCTTTAGATTTCCAATAAACATGGGTAGCTTTCTTAAATAAGAAAACAAAGAATGAAATAAATAAGAGTGAAAAATGCAACAGAGCATAAAAGTAATAATAGAGTTTTCTAGCTCATCAATACCAGCCAATTTTAAAAAAAGGCTAACATTACTATTTGATCAATCAACAGAAGGATAGATCATCATAACCATCATCATCATCATTAGAACCTGTTCCCAACTATTTGGGATCGGCTACAAGGATTCTGATAACAGAAAAATAGAAAATGGGACAAAATCAAGAACAATTCCCGCAATAATAAATATAAAAAACACAAAACAAACCGATGCAAAACACATCAAAGATAGCAAAAGCGAGCAAAGAACTGGAATGCGAAATGAATTAGGATTTCAAGATCAACTCACTCAAAAGAAGAAAGACCAGTCCCACAAAGAAAAAATAGATACATATCACCTGAATTTTTCCACAAATTTCTATGGGAAAAGGTTAAAAAGGAACAAGGAACAACAAGAGAGGAGGGGGAAAAAACCTTCAAATTTGAAGCAAAGATTCATAAGCAGATCAAGTGGTGATATTCTAGAGTGAAGGAAATAACTTTCAAATTTGAAGCAAAGATCCATAAGCAGATCAAGTGGTGAAATTCTAGAGTGAAGGAAATACAATTCAATAAAAATCAGAGATTCCAGTAAAGGATATGAGATTGACGCTCAAGTAAATGATGAGAGAGAGAGAGAGAGTTGGATTGCAAAATTTCGATTGAGTGGCACTGAAAGAAAATGCCAGCAAATAAAGGCATACGAATGTATATATCCATTAAATTTCCACCAAATTCTTCTATTGACCAACTTTAAAAGGGATTTACAAGGAGAATGAAAAGTTTAAAATAATATAAAACACCTCAAGCATAGATTCGGTATCAGATCAAACTGTTAAATCAAGAGTGCAGACAATACTAGTGTTGCAAGGGAACTCAGATTCTAAGTAAATGGATACAAGAAAGAGAAACAAATAAAACCAGTTTAAGGACAGCATAGGGATCTGATGGGCTATATTCATCCTCTTATCGTCCTGACCATTGATTGTCCCATCACCACCTTCTCCATCTCCAGCCCAAAATCCTCTCTCTCTCTCTCTCTCTCTCTCTCTCTCTCTCGTACTTACTACTCCGTCCGTCC